CTCACCGCCCTTCATCCTTGTGCTGGGAATGTTGATCGGAGTCTGCCATATTGTTGCGCAGTCCTCCTTCGCTAGGTCTTACCACAGTCTCTCTCTTGACCGGCTCCTGCAAAAATGCTCTTCGCACAGCCTAAATGGGCACCCAGTTGTAGGACCCCTCAAAAATAGGTGTCCCTATGGTCGATAAAAAAAACGAGGAAACACTTCAGATGATTCGCTATAAATTGCAGTAAATAGGAGACGTGTACAATTTCCCACTACAATTGTGTGTTTGGCAAGGCAGCTTTTAAATGAAGCCATGTCAAGAGTAGCCGGTGCCCTCAGTTGGCAGGAACAAAATAACGCAACTTCCGTAGGCATTTCATATCTCTCAGACAGGCCACAACCGAGTGAGCTTAAATTGACAGTTACTTCGTTAGTAGCACAGGATAGAATTTTTCATATTGGCAGACAGATTAGTTTGTTTCCTTTGTCACCATCTACATTTTAGGAGCATATTAGGGAAGGCTTAACATGCTAGATACCAAAATTGTTAAATTTATCCGAAACTCTTGTATTCCTAAGGATGGTAAATAGAAAACAAAATATTAAGAAGATTTTCGTACATTTTTGAGAATATTAATTTTTTTTAAAACTTCCTAAAAACTAGGATTGAGGGATGTAGTCTCTACGAGTAGGCGGCAGTACTCGGTAAAGCATTTTTTACATTTTACTTGCATGCCGATGTTTCGCCAGTGATTTGAGACCGGCCTGACAAAAGCTGAATTTCGTTTGTTTAATTCTAGCTACAGTGAAGCAAAAAGACTTTATTTTACACTTTGGTTGCACTTCGATATATGCCCCAAAAGTCAGTCCGATAAAATAACACAGTGGTAACGGATATATATTCTGAGCGATCAGGTTTCTGGAAGCTGAAAAGCAAAGCTGTCACTCTTCTACAGCTCAAGCTATTGAAATTTTTTGTTGAAGATGAGAGCTATTTATAGTAAAAATTATTCAAATTTAGCGACTTCACTCTGAATTAATGTGGTTTACAAGTATTCATTTTAGACCTAACTCCATCTTTATATAAAAATTGGAGTTTTTAGATCTATTTAATTTAGTAATGCATCAGGAAACCTTATGGTCACCAGAGCTTAATCTCCTTTCTTAACTTCATTCTAAAATAGCTTCAACCGAATAAATTTTATCATGGAAAGGGCTGCATATTCTTTTTTGTCGTGCATCTATTTTCCCTTCATATGTATTCTTTCCCGTCTCTTCTCTCTTCTTTCTCCAGTCGCGATTGGTATCGGTGCCCGTGGGAGTCGCTGGTCGACGGCAGTGCTGGCAGCGCAAGCCGTCAATCGTTTCATGCGGGGCATACGTCTCTTGCTTTGTGTCATTTTCACTTATCCGATAAAGCCGAAGGATAATTCATTGCCAGTAAAGTAAGTATTCGAAACTGTACACCTGTCGTCTGTTTGTAGATCCACTTTAGGCAGCATCAAATCTGTATGAGAAGGAGACTGAAAATGGTGATGAGTCGCTGTAATTTTCATTGAAAAGGATCTAAATTGCCGCGGCTGTCTCAATCTCGGTCAAAATGTATATAAATCTGGTTATAGTTAATTTGTACATTATTTTATCTATTGAATGAAAAGATAGTCTAATCGAAGGTTTTCAAATTCTTTATCTAATGCGTGCATAGGAAATTAGTCACTCTAGATAACAGAAAGTAATACAAGGTGTGATACTAGTTCATTTCATGCATTGTTTATATTTTAGAAACCAAATCAAATTGAATATAAGTAATTTTGTCTAACTTTATGGCAAATACACGTTTTACTTACCGAAAATTGCACTGGAAAGGGGGATTTGAGCGAGGTCAATCTCAGCATAACTTGAATCTCCATTTGGAAGTAAAAGTTGGTTGGAAGGAATTCATGAATTGATCTCAACAGAAATCAAGGGAGGATTGCCTCGGAGTAAAGACTTTTGTACTGTGCGAAGAAGTCCTCGGATCAACGTTTTGTGACTCTGATGAACCTGTGCTAGACTTTAGTATGTTTCCTGACAAAAATAATCAGACTAAGATACCATACTTTACGAAATGATTCTGTTGTGTTAATTCGTCAAGTATGGGCTCTTGCTCTGATTAGTTCTGCCACTAAACATGCTAAAATTTAGCACAGGTTCATCAGAGTCACAAAGCGTTGATCCGAGGACTTCTTCGCCCAGTCCTTTGGTTTCTAGTGGCGATGAGACAAGGTAGGAAAATTTTCACCATCATTCAGTAAATCAATTTTAGAAAGCATGTGTGAATAAGTATTGGAGCATACCCTATTGTTGGGCTTCGAACAAGCAAGTTAATTATTTGTCAGGCCATCTGACCCTAGCCTGCTTCCAACCTCCGAGGCAATATAACAACAAAAAGCTCATTTTAAAAGCCATATACTTACACTGATTAGCTTTGACTTCCCTTTTTTCTATAAGAACTAATTTAGCCCAGATAGCTTGGGATAACATGCGAAAATATAGTTGAATTTCCCCTCAATGAAATGAGTAGGCTTCCTCATCCACAATGGACCCTATTTACGAACTCGTTTGTTTCTCACTAACAGCCCCAAGGGGCTTCAAACGTGTGTCATTGACATCTTAGCTGCATGGTATCACTCCGCTACATATACACATGCATTGCTGATGAAATGTTTATGTATCCATTATTTAAATTCGATGTGGGTATGATCTGCAAGTATAAGTATCAGATTACAAAAGGAACTAATCATCCTGTGTTGCATAAGATGAGCTAAGAACTGAGAGTGGGGAGTTTTTCCCACTATGTTAGTAAATTTTATTTAGCCTTGACCCCCAAAAGGTTTTCTCATCCAGGCTGAACTGTGGTTTCAACTTCGCCCATGTCTTTTCTCTGTAAATCCCTTTCTTGCAGTCCCCGTCTCAGTCCATAAGGTATGCAAACGCTTAATCGCAAATGCACACTAAGTACACCCTACTCCTTCTTTTGATAGCCACTGCTTTAATCAACATTCGATATTCATTTACAGGGTCATAATTGTGCACCACCGACTTTCCGCCTCTTCGAATTCCAGTCACGTTATCTTGACGCTTGTTGAGAAAATGTGGCTTGGCATTGCCTGTCAGTACAACGCAGCCGTCATTCGTCTGCAACGAGGTTCCAAACAAATGCGTAAGTTTGTCACGTATTGTGTCTGATTAGACATTCGCCCTATTCCCTCTGCCTCCCTGTCCTCGGCATGGGCAGCATTCATGCCATACACTAGCACGCAATGTTGCCATGGTCTGCATTTTCGCCCTTTCGATGATGAATGATGCCGCCTTTGAGTTCGCCAGACAGTGAGTACACGTAAAAACAGTGAGCTCGAGCAGAGCCATGAAAATCTCCCACCAAATACACATTTTTTGTGGACTCTTTATTTGGTTAATTCTTGGGCCAGTTCACATGTCAAGAAGATCTCAGTTTCGGGCCTCAAGGCTGGGTAGTTACTCGGTTGTTAGGATTTTCAACATATGTAGAGGCATTTGAAAGTGTACCTTGGTTTCACTGACTCTCTTGAAATAGCATTGATATAGTGTATTTCGTTTCAAGTGAAAGTGCCGGATGTAGAGTTTATTGGGATTCTCTCATCGGATTCTCGTTCATATACAGTCGTTTGATTGTATCTGGATGTCTGATATCGTCTCTCACCTAGAAAACGACGTCCGAGACAGTTTTCATCCTTAGAAAATATACTACCAGTATTGAATCACGAAAATTAATAATCTCTCTTTCATATTATGTGTATACGCTAGTACGTTGATACGTACGCATACTCAGAGGAACTCAAGACTACAAACACTTAGATATAAACTAAGTGAAACTTGATTTTTATGAATCTTTTAATCGAATTCACTTTGAGTGAAATGCCTAACGAAGAGATTTAAAGCACGATCTCACCAGAAATTGACTGCCGCTCCCCATTGTTCAGTAGTCGTTGAGTTTATTCTCAATCCAAGGTTGAAGACATCCTTCATCGGTCCGGGTGAATACAGGCTGAGCTATTGTCCGTCTTGTCACAGATATATTCAGGATTGAATCATTTTCTTTCAGAAGCTTATCGTCCACACCAAGACAAGAAGTCTAAGTGACTCTAGCTTGCATGTTATATATACTTATGACTAAAACGGAATTAAAATTATAAAAATATATAGATGGTTATAAATACAACTGTTTAATCGCAGGTATGAAGACAGGGATGGTGGGACCTTTTTTATGGTTGCCGTCTACTTTTGTTCTATAAAAGTTGCTTGACCTTGTTTTAGCAACTTGGTCATATTGGCAGGAAAGCCTAGATGAACACATCTTGTCCGGAGTCCATAGTATGCATGATAATTTCCGGAGTTGGACTGTACCCAAAGGGCTGATCCAAGGCTTCTGTTTAATCTGCAATCCTGTCTCTTCGGGTCCTATCAGAGTCACACGCCTGTTCCGTATGATCCTTCGCGAATTTTCCTGTTTCAATGATTTCACTATACCGTTGTCACCGTACTCGTGCTACTCAAGGCATTATGTTCTACACTATTACATGCGGACCCCCAAATGCGAGAGTTCTACTTGAATTTAATAGGCTCCCTGTAAGACAATGCACAGGTTGCAGTCTGACAAAGAAGACAATTGTAAGTCAATCCTGAAA